TTTTTTTTTTTTAATCAAAAACTCGCAGATTGCATCATTTGTATACATACGTGCGTACGCTTAATTACACTTCCGGTTATTTTTTTTGTTCACGCGAATTCGAGTTCAAACACAAAGAAACGAACACGAAGTCACGAACTCTCAATATTTACCTTGAAATTATATAGAATAAAATCGCTTAAAAATTTTTCAACGTCGTTTTCTTCGTATAAACGACAAATAGAACGCTCCGCGCTCTCGATTTTCGCTCCGAAATAACGGAGGAGTGCGAGGAGAAAACGAGATCGTTGGATTTCTTTTCAGCGTGTGTCTCTCGAAATCGCTCGACATCGATTGGTGTAAACGACGCGGTTTAAACCGACGATCGTTTCGCCGCGATGTCAGTGCGGCACGCAAACCAAAAAAAACGTCGCATTTGTTTCGTATACGTACGGAGCTCACACGAGCGGGGCACCGCACGAGACGCCGAGATTTGTTCGGCGCGTATATATGACACTCGAGAGAAAAAAACACACACACACACACACGCACGCACACGAATGATGAACAGTCGGAGACTCACCAGATACGTAAGCAGAAGCGTGAAAACAGCTGAGGTCCTACGGCCATACTGGGTTCTGCGAGGAAACGTTTTTTATATACACAATGCGATCGAGCGTGTTGTACGCGCGTGCCACTCCGAGCGTCGTGACGCCACTCGGCGCGGTGACCCGATGCCCGATCGATTATCCAAAGTCGCGCGGACTTGAAACGCCACCGCTAGATACTTAAAACCACTCCTTTGATTCGCGTTGCTCCGCGTGGCGCTGTTCGCCTCGCCGTTTGTTTGTTCCGCTCGGCGGAACCCTCGATCTTTGGTGCAGCCCCGCGCAACACCTTTTGCGCCTTGACCTGCTGCACAATTTCGCAGCACAATATCACCGTTTTGCCGGACTTGCGCTCTTCTTCTGGCAACGGGAGGCGGGATAAAGATCGTTGGATCTTGGTCTCTCGCGCATGACAGATAAAGCTGGCGCATCATCTCTTGGGCGCGATGACATATCTCACCGAGTCTTCCGATGAATCACCGCGAGTTTTTATTGCCAATTTCCAAATACAAATTTCCTTTTGTCTCACCACTGTGCGACATACTCGCGTATCTTTGTATGTATTACTTTAGGATTTTGAAAAAGTAAAAAATAGTTGAGAAAGATTTTTTATGTATATGGATGCGATATGTCGCGCGAATAGGGAAAATTTATAAAAGAAATGAGCCAGAGAACCACAGTGGTCTCTTTCTGTAAGGCGGGTCTTCACCACTCATCTCTCTTACTTATATATGTATATTTAATCATACAAATATTACAATCTAGAAATGAAAAGCACATAGATAATCACAGTACAGTCATCGGATGTGATGATCGCAAGTTGATGATCAAGAGTTTCAGTCCTAAACAAAAACAATCACTCTAAGTGATACTCGAGCGCTAATTGTGTTCAGCTGTGTGTAAATATGGTTTTTTTTTTTTTTGTTCGTTCTCAACAGCTGGCTGCGGTTTTAAAGCGCGTGTTCACATCCTTCCAGTTGACAACGTCGAAGATTGCTTTCACATAATCTGGTCGCACGTTTTTGTACTGCAAGTAATAAGCATGTTCCCACACGTCGATGCCAAAGAGAGGTACCAAACCGGTTGTAGCCTGTAGCGGATCCTGATTCGCGCAGGTCGCTATTCGCAGGGACTTTGCTTTTTGATCGTAACCGAGCCAGCCCCAGCCGGAGCCTTGGATCGCCACAGTTGCTTCCGACAGACGTTTCTTCATTTCCTCCAGACTACCAAAATCCTTTTCAATCTGTTTCACAAGAGCGGCTGGAAGAAACAAATGTGTTTGTCAGTTTGAAGAGATATACAGAAACCGGTTCTTCTAAAAGACATTGCGGTACGAATGTTCTGCAAATTTTGGAAGAAACAGCACTGATTGTACCATTCTGGCTCTATTACCGTCTGGGTCACCACCACCGGGCGAGAGGTTGCACCAAAAAATAGAATGATTCAGATGACCACCCCCGTTAAATTTGATGGCCGGCATCAAAGCAATCTGCGTATTGACGTCGCCCCTCGCAACCGCCTCCTTCAGTTTCTCCTCGGCAACATTCAGATTGTTCACGTAAGTCGCGTGATGCTTGGAATGGTGAAGCTGCATTATCTCCGCGCTTATGATCGGTTCCAGCGCCTTGTAATCATACGGCAGCTCGGGCAGCGAATGCTTAGATCTCGCGACGACGTCCTTGCTGAGGAAAAACGCGTCAGCCAGAATGTGTTTTATTAGGTTAGAAATTACATAATACAACACAAAGTTGCGAATAAAATTTATATTACTTACACATGTTTTCTATTAGAAATCAGAACACGTCTTGCAGCAAACATGATTGACGTGAATTGAATCACGAAGCTTTTCTACAGATTTTGTTGTATGTTAAAAGTCAACGACTTCTGTGAAAGAAGAAAGACTCAGACCTTGGCTGTAATCCCGATTTTTCTCAAGATGTCAACGCGCACGTGAAACGTATGTGTGATAATCTTCGCATTCCATCGCGTATGGTGCGCGAACCCGATGGGAATCCCGATGTTCGCAATCGTGTTCGCCCGCGCATGCGCGGATATACATCTTCGCGAACTCGGAGGATCAAAAATAGAAGAAAAAACAAAAAAAAAAAAACTAAACAATTCAGAATCCAAAGATACAAAAGTTAATAAACTTGATTAGGCGCAAGATAAAAAGTAAAATAGAAAGGAAGTAGCCAATAACGTACTTTTTTATGTTGAATAAGTTTCTTTAATAACTGCTTGTCCTCGGCAAAGATCAGCAATTTACAACTCTGTGTCGATACATCTGTAACGGTAAAAATGTAAACTAATTTTTTTTTTTTTTTTTTCTGGACACACACTACATTACATAAAAGAATAGACATAGTATATGTGTACATTTGAATTTCGTCGAGCTGTTATCAAAAAATGCAAGAATGTGTTTTGTTCGAATTATTTAAATTTTTGGAGAGAACACTCATATATACCTTGTTTCGAAAACGTGCGTAAGAATTGTTTTCAATTATTTGTTTTTATATAGTTCACAAATTATTGAGAGATTAGTATCACGATATTTTCCTAAGAATATCCGACAAATAAGCAATTAACTTGGGAATATATTGCGCGCTATTTGCAACATTTCAAATGTATTTTACGTATATTTCTTCTCATCAGCACAAACACGCGCCGAAAACGCAAAAAACCGTTTTTTTCTAGTTTAGGAAAATTTCACACAAGAACGAAGTTATGCATCAGAATTTTTTTTATGAGAAATCAGTCTACAAAACAATTTGTTTTATTTTATATAATAAAACGGTCGATATTCACAGTCGAATCTTCTTTTTTCAATAGTTGCTCTATAGCCAACAAAGCGGCACCATCGCGGTAAGATAAGATATCTTAGATATAAGATCAGACTATAAATATCGACTTGTGTGTATGTTCGAAATCATTCTTATTTTGTCTAGATATTCGATAAAAGGAAGAAATAAAACACGTCGCGCGCGCGTGAAATATGTTTCTTACACTAATGTAGAAATACATACATATGTACAACACTGTTGAATTGTTACGTATTTAGTCGCGCGAAAAAAGTCTAGATGTGATGCGCCTTCGTGTATATGCGCACGCATATACACGTCAGATGCGTGCGTACCTGCACGCACAAACGCACATCCGCAGATATTAAGATTTATTTATTTATTTACATATGCGATTACACAGGTATTTGTGATTAATTCTTGACAATACTCTTTCTTTCTGATTGTTCAGTTTACTCAACAAAAACTCTTGACGATTTACATATATATATATATATGTATATATAAATGAAATACTTCAGTATGTTCTGATCTTTTTTACAACAGTTCTTAGCGTTTGACTATTTTATACATATATATATATGTATGTATATAATGCAGAACTAAAAATCTACTCACATTTTTGTCTGATATAATTTCTGCAATTTACGTAACTTGATCGAAGCAAGTAACGTCACAGATAGAGATGAATTATATAAATTTCACATTATATTCGCGCGATGATTATCGAGAATATTTACAAAGTATTTGTCATTTTAAATACCGATCGTTCGTCATTCGAAATTATCACCGATACAGGTACTGAAATTATATCTCTTTGTGTTTATTGTTCATTTATTTCACGACCGATATCCGGCATTGTGTTTTCGATTAGGACTTTTGTGAGTATTTGGAACATTCTATAGTTGAGAGAAAGAATATTCGTCAGTATTTGAATATTCCATTACTCGAATCGAATTTGTCGAACAAATATTTGAAACTTTTTCAGATCGAAGAATTCAATACCAAATAACGGCCGAGTATTAAAACTGTATCGCAACGTTTCAATCACGCGTGATCAGTGTCATAGAAAAGGGAAATAAAATACTATTTATTCCGGATCACTCTGCAGAGTCTCGCCGTTGGTTAAAACTAACGCGTCGTCGTCTGCTTCGTTATAATCGAGAGAAAGTATGCTTTCTCTTCGTTTCTTCTTGTGCGTCCTTTCATCATCACTACTGGCCGCACTTTTCTCCCGTTTTGTCCTGTCCCTATTCCGCGTGGTTCGCGCAATCACCTCCTCTCCGTTCGATTTACCACTATTTCGGTGATTTTTATTCCTCAACGTTCGTTTGTTTCGACTCTCCTCGTGCTCATCCTCTTTGTCACTGAGTTCCTCGTTCTCGACCTTAATTATTAACGCCGCGGAGTCGCTAGAACTTTCGTCATTATGATCGGTCTGATTAAGTTTTCTGTCCGCACGTTCTGTTCTTTCGGCACTCATAAGCTCACTGGTGGGCGACGCTAACGGTGGAGTTCTTACACCTTTGCACATACCACTGTCCTCCAGCTTCGGTGGTTTTGTATCTGACAAGGTGGTATCTTCCGACTCATCCTTTTTGATAGGTGGTGTGTGCGGCGATAAACCATTCGACATATTATTCTCGTTTGTGTTTGCTTTCAATGTCGCGTTCTCCTGCTGCAACAACGTGACAGACTCCCGAGCTTTGCGTAGTTCCTGTTGTAAGAAGTAAATAGTGCTCTGCATACCCTCCACATCTTCGTCCAAATCCTGCAGAAATTCATCTAATTCTGCAAATATGAAAAACAAACATTAACATTAGTTGTATGATTGTTTATATAATATTTAAGGCTCGACCGTTTCTCTGTCTTTGTTTACTGATTTCAAGTGCAATATTAAGAACAAATATTTTTGTGTGTGTATAAACAGAATTTTTTTTTTAATATAAATAACGATACCTGATTGTGATTTCTTTACTTCTTCGCTAAACTTTTTCTGTAGAGCGAGTTCACCTTCTAACTTGGCAATACGTCCACTGGCAATCATACGACCAAGTTCTTCATTTTCTTGATATAACAGTCTACATTTTGCCATTAATCTTTTCCCTGTATTGCTGTAAATATGTAATTAGTATAATAATATTAATATAATTTAATTGTAATAACTTTCATATTACCACATGTTAGTTAGAGAATTACCTGTCTGGAGTAAATTTCCAAGCGCTTAGTTCATTCTGCGTCTCCTCTAATTTACTCTTAGTTGTTATTAACTCTTGCCTTAATTTCTGTATCAATATATTAACAGCCGGATCTAATAAAGCAGATCTCAATGCTGCTGCGGACGGAGCTTGGGTGGCTTTCATTTCATTTATTTGATTCTGAACAGCAAAAAATAAATTCCTACTTTTGAATAAGTTTTACACACAAATGAATTTATATTTACACAAATTAATATATATTCTATATACACAAGATATATATATATATATAGATAAGTGTATACTTGAAGTTTAATGTGTTCTATATATGAGAATGTTACATTATTGAGAATGTTTACATACAATGTATTCTTGCAATTCCTGTTCTTTAGAAGCAAGTCTCCTCACTAATATCTTCTCCCTGTGAGATGCTTCTACATATTGTTGTCTATATTTGTTTTCGGATTCTCTCAATGAAGCTAGTTCACCTACAAAGGAACAGCCTATAAACTTCTTTACTTCCGGAAATTTAACATTCAAATGAAATCTACATGTGTTTGTACAACTGTAGTACAATGATTGAGTTTTACATATGTCATATATACGTAAAACATGTATAGATATATAGATAAAATTCATGTTTATATCTATATACACACACATCTGCGTGAAACGCATATGTATATAAATGTCTGTGTACTTTCTTTTCCGGAAATATTGTCCTCATATATTTCTAGAAAACTATATTTGTAAAATGATGTAAGTTATAATATTATAGTAGTGATATTACAGTGGAATATAAAAAATATATATACCTATTAAAGAAATATAAAACATGTAAGCACACATCAAGTTCTTTTTTTTCAATTTCTAGAAGTTGATTTACTTTCTTCTTTAAATTCTACAGTAAGTGCATCAGTTTATCATCTTGAAATAAATTCTTTATAAATTACTGGATCAAATTTTCTGTACAAGCAGAGTATTAGAATTATATCAATTCAACGCAAGTATAAGAAATATACAAAAATTAAATTACTTTATTTTACCCGAAATATAATAGAATTAAGAAATATAATTAAGAAAATGTGTACTCATTAATCCCACTGTAATTTTTGTAACTGGTGTATTTGTACGTATTTGTGTTGTATATATTTGCATATAAAAGATTTCTCTTTTATAAGTATATATATATATTATACTTTTATATATGTATATAAATATACATACATATATGTATATATGTATACAAATATATATATGTATATATACTTGTACAAATCAAAAACAATTATTGTTTTTTATAATTTTCTGGCACATATTTTATAAGAGAATGCAAAGTCATCAATTATGAAGAGTATTTGAAATTGTTTACAAATATATATGTGATCAATGTTTTATGACATCACATATATTTTGTGTTGAACTAATAAATTTCAAATGCATGTAAATAAACAATTATACTTTAACAAATCTAATGACGGCCTGACAATTGACATTGCTGACTAACGCATACTTTGATTTTGCAGTCGTTGCGATGTGCCATTTGAGATTCTCTGTACTTCCACCAAGACCATGAGTGGATGTTACTTTTCTTCCACAAGAATCACAAGTGTGTACTTGTTGCAGGTACAGATGATAGAGTAACGAGATGCTGGCCAGGTATAATTCACAGGTTTATGCTTTTGTAATTTTTCATATCTGACATCCGGATATTACGGTGCAGGTATAAACGCATGCATAAGTTGCGCATTCATAGTGATAATATGTAGAGGGACGATTGAAGGTCTAGGAATACAATTAATTAAAACTTGCATTATTTTATCATGGACAGATTTAAAAAGGAACGAAAATAATATGTAATAATAAATACGGATTTTTTGGAAGGTGAAGGAACAAATTGACGGAATTAAGCAATGTAAGGATCCACTTGATAACGGTGAATAGAGTTACTGTACTTCACCAAGATTTAAATTTGCACACCTCATGTGCAGTACTTCGCAGACCAAAGGACGACACGGATTTACTCTCTTATTACTTCTTTGAGTCTTAAATTCAGCATCATTTCGAAACTTTTGTTTCTCATCTTTATTCGTGTCTAGCAAAACTTCGAGAGCTTTTTGTATTACACACGCGTATGCACATACACACACACACTGTCTTGCATTTTAGATTTGTATAAATTATTGCACTGCAGATATATATGTACGCGGTACACTGCACAGACACTTGTAAAATGGTATTCTAAGCAAGACAGTTGTGTCTTTTCACATTTTATATCAACAGCGAACACATTTTTTGTAGAAAAACCCCTTTGATGCCTCTTGATACACATTAACACTTGAGATTTTTCAGCCATTTTCACTTTATCAGTAAACTCTTTATATCTGCTCTTTATATAACAACAATACAAACTGCTCACATGACAAATTTGGGCCTTAGATATATATATCTTCATTTTGTGTGTATGTATATATATACATATATCCATACACTCCACATATATACTCACGAATAAAAATTTTCGTTAATATTTTTCACTGAACATACATCAATCTTTGACTCGATTTAATAAGCCGCACTACACATCACAAATGTAGTTTTGTAAAATTAATATATATATATATATATATTGTCATGTCACTTTACAGTATATATTATATTCTAATAGGTATGTATTCTAATCTATCTAAATGTACTCTTGTAAATACAATTGAAATATTTTTAGCATAGTACATTACTCTAAATTCTCTCATGAAGTAAATAAAGCTTTACTTTCATATGCCTACAAAGTGAAGTACTTATTTATTACAAAATCTTGTTCCCTTGTAACATATTTAATCCTAATAAGTACTTAGCTTCATATATACTCTAATCTTAAACACTGGTTTAATCTTAGGCTTAGCGTCCCTATGAGAGTCTTGTTTCTTAGAAAAGACCATTTTTGTGTTCTGGCATTTGGTTAATTCATTTTAAGATATGTGGCGAGTGAGGTAAATCTCACTCAAGTGATCTCAGTACCTTCCTGAGCTGCTGCTTGAGCTTCAAGACACTCCACATACAAGTCCTGTTCATGCCATTTGACCGCCAGCTCGTCCTTAGTCAAGCTGTCCAACTGCTGTTGCGTTAGCTTCACACGTCTCGGTTGCCTGGGTGAATGTGGACTGCTGGCCTTTCCACCGGTGCTGCTCTGGGGACTCCTTGGCGAGGATGGTCCAGTCGATTTAACTTCGTTACATTCATCTGCCATTTCACTACCAGGCGTTGTTGGGTGGTACGTTAAATTGCAGAAGCCTTTATCCAAGCACCAAATTTTCTGTTCATCAATTCTCACCCGATGTCAATAGGTGGTTACTGGCTGTGTATACTTTAACGCACGCGATAACAGACTGACCTATACAAAAAAAAGAGTCACAAGATATATACAGCACATGTAATTATACATATGTGTGTATGTGTACATGTTATGCATTTTGATATTTTTTACTACATATTACAAGGATAGAATTAACAACAGAGCTTATATATATGTATATATACAAAATTTAAAAATTTTTCTAAACATCTTTTTAAACAGATTACAATATATATACTATATATGTATATACATATACACATATACACATCACACTCTTTACTACGAGAATATCGAATTTTGCTTGATCGATATGCGTACTATAGAAACGTTACACAATATGCGCGTACAGCACGGCTCTACCAAAAAAAAAAAAAAAGTCACAAAGTTGGCGCAATATTCCGAAAAAGCAAGAGCCGCGCACATTGGCGAGATCTCACGTTACACAAGCGAGAAAACGAGAAAATGAATTTGCCGTCGCTTCAAGCAGGCGTATCGACGCCATTACGTCGTCGACATGCCTGCCACGATGGAACACGCACTCAGACACACACTCGCTTTGTCGCGCCTGCCGTCGTTTCCCCGTCTTGTTTTTCTCTTCCTTTTCTTAATTCCAACGAAATTACGCGACAATGCGACAAATCGTTCTCGACTCGTACAAAATTCGAGAAATCGGCTCAACAATGAAAATCATCACATTGCAACTGTTGTAAATTAGGCCGTACATATAGATGTGATTTTACGAAAACATCGTGCCAATATTTTTTTTCTGTCACAAAACTCAATGTATTTATTTACCTCGATCGATTACAGGAGGCTAAGATCTCATTCCAGAAGATGCTGCATTCGTTAATCAGGAGACGGTCAAAATGGATAAAACATTGCACGCGCGAAAAAACGGAGTGAGCGCGCTTTAAATAAGTACACCGTGCGTGCGGTACAACAAACTTCACCCGATTTGATCAAACTAGAGCGAGAGTCGGATATATAACCGTGGACCGTGCAGCGTGTACAATTAATTGTCGCACAATTACAGACACGGGGGTTTAAACTGTTTTCGTAACAGAGTTCGCGAAAGGAGTTTCCGTTGAAACGCTCAGATAACGGCGACGACAAGTCTCAGACCGCAGAAACTCCGACACGTTGAAAACTGATCGCAAATGAAAAAGACAATCACCTTGCGTCTTTCGCGCCATCAAAGAGAGGAATTGAAATAATACGAGAGGTCGGTGAGATACGTAGAGCCGTCTGTCGGAATCAAGGCGAAGTTTGTGCAATTGCAAATTTAATTGATCGTATCACACGACTACTTGAGACGAGGGATCGAAATTTGTTGCCCAATCAGATCGAAGTTCACTAAACGTAATATTTAGTTTTCTTTAGTCCGATTGGTTACGTTCAAATCCAACATCAATTTTAATTCGTAGACCGAAGACCGAGAGCGGCCAGGCCCATAAAATAATGTGTAATCACTTTTCCGCCCTGTAAGACCGACGCATTGTCCATGGACGATGGCAAACTACTGCGTCCACGAACAACTTGTCGGTACGTATATACACGTTATGTATTTTGCTTTAGTCACGTGTCTCTAAAAACGTGACTAAAGGAACGTCACGTAACAGGAAGGAGAAGAAAAACAAAACGCGTGACTGAAGTAAGATCACGTTTCTCTCTGTTAATACGCACGCGATTCTCATTGTTGCTCTTGTCATTGCGATGATGCTTTTGGCGTTAGGTTTGACTCGAGTTTGCATCGCATGTCGGTAATATCGATTAGGCACGCCGTTGCACATCGACAACCACTCGCGAATATGACTACGTAGTTGTCCTAATGTGCACCACCGTGGACATAGCGCTGACGTACACGGCGAAAAAGATGACAGCTAAACTGGGACCGTGGCCGCTCTCAAGTCTTCTGTAGCTACTTCAAGTTCTGGTTAGAAGTGCGCGCGCGTCTGTTTGATAAGTATTCGATTTTTTCGAAATATTTATCATGTACATACTTTGATTGATACATTGAGATCAGCAGGTAGGTCTTATAAAACAAACACAATTTTCATATCGCACGGATAGTGTCTACATATATCAATCGTATTGATTTCCGATTACGCAATCATATATCGCGCGGCGCGATTTTAGAATTAATTAAGACCTACGATTAATTGATTACTGGTCACTCCGATTCATCGATCGTGCTGTGATAGTCATTTTGCAGTTTTGACACGTAATATTTAAGTAAAATTTTACAAAATGTCCACAAAAATAACACAAATTTTAACACATTTAGTCAAGTTATAGTATAGATCACACACATACGTAATACTCTTTCTTCAAGCGAGATAAATTGTAAAAGTTTGACTGTATAAAATTGAGAAAAACTCACGATTTTCTGTGTGTAATGTGTGTCAAGAAAGCAAACAAGGTCAATATATGTATACTTTTAATGTGTTAAAAATATTATGTTTTATTAGTATATATTTATGTATTTAAATATATAAGGCAGCGAGTAATATACATATACACATTAAAATATGTGTGTGTATGACACTTCTGACAAATTACAAATGGAAAAATTTTATTGTAATTTTTACTTAGATGGATGAGAATAATAATGAATCAATTTCAAATACGACTAGTGATAAAAAAAATAATAATAATAATAAGCTATTTTCCAATATGTCTGTTGGTTCGACTGTTGAAGATAGTATGACTGAGAAATCAGATTTTGATTTGTTGAGCACACCTTCGGTAACATCTGCTTTTACAAATAAAAAATATTCTCCATCATCGGCATCAATATCTGTAGAACACCGTTATCAATTGGTCGGCAATATCAACGTCGTCAAACAATTGTATTATCATAAAATCTTCTTTATTTTTTACCTTTTATAACTTTAATATACATTTTATGTTAATTTTATGTATATATATACCTTCGAAGTAAGTTACAAAATAAACAGTTTGTAGGGAAGTCAATCAAGATGTGCTTTGCATCTGTTACACGGAAACATTTGACTTCTTGGTAGCAGGATTATCGGATGGAACATTAAGATTCTACGAAGGTAACTCGAGAGAACACACAATGACTTTATGCGACATGGAAATAATGCAAAATCCGGCTCCGGTCACAGCTGTTAAGCATCGACCGGCGCGCAAAACGCATCCGATCACGTGGACTGTAACGACAACTTGTTAGTGTAATGTTATGAAAAATGTGAAAAATTTTCAAAAAGTCTTGACACGTTTTTCAGAAAACGACGAAAGTTTGTAACAAATTTTATTTACACAGATGCCAATGGTTGTGTCAAATGTTGGCATTATCCAACTGAGCAATGCATTTACACGATACGAGAAAACCGACAAGTGCTTGGTTTAGCTTTTCATCCTGCGATACCAAAATTTGTCACCGTTGGAGATGACGCGAACTTATATTTATACGATGAAGAAACAAAAACACGGGAAAGAGTATTTCACGGAAGGTGATTGTTACTTTGTTATAAAGTAAAAATAATATAAACTAGATTTTTTCTCTAAAACTTTAACGTAACGAAGTGATATAAGTGATATTACAATGCGTCATGTACTCATATCTATATATATAAATTATACAATTTTCAAATAATAGCGAGTCACCGGATGTCATGGACGGCCACACATCCCGAGTCTTCGGGATTTGCTTCAATCCCAAATCCGCGCACGAGCTGATAAGCGCCGGTTGGGACGACACCGTTCAGTTCTGGGATACCAGACAAGCTCACTCCCTTCGTTACATATCGGGTGTACACATGTGCGGAGATGGTCTAGATATCAGTAGAAACGGCAAAGAGGTATATAATATCAAACTTTGATTGTTTTCCATATCACTGCGCGAATATTACACGTCACTGCAAATTTATGAAAACCCGTATATTATCTTTCTACGCTCTCTCGTAACATGTCTTATATAGTACAGAGACTCTTTTCCGAACAATAGATTCTTACCTGTTCCTGGCAGAAGGATAATCCTATGCAGTTGTGGGACTACGGCAGCGGCAAATTGATCGCCAACTTGGAACCCGACACCTATCACTCATTATTATATGCTGGAAAATATGTGACGAATTCGCACGTGGCATGCGGTGGCTGCGACACCGATCTTTTCAGGGTCGTCGATATGCGAGTTTATTCCGTAAGTCTAATAGCACATCTTAGTAAATTGTTGCGTTATATAACGTAAAAAAAAAAAACTTTTTAAGATCGCGTTATACAAAGTATTTTCGAAAGAGTGTATTTTCCTTTTTGTAGAATCCTTACTTCTTGCAAATTACAAGCTGTCAGGTCCCAACATTTTTTCAGAACAATTAATATTGTTCTTCTTCTGAAAAATAGTAATCTGTATATGTATTGTTTCCATAGACTATAGCTATGATCCGAAACCTCAAAGGCGGTGTATATAGCTTGGACGTCGGTCCATTTGAATCAAAAAATATTAAAAAAACTAGAAGAAGTGTCCCGAGGCTTGCATTTTGCGCGGGAACAAGAATTTTTGAAGTAGACATTCCACCTTTTGACTGAATATTTGCAGTTTCAAAATTTGATTTGCAATATCTCGTCTCGGTAACATTGAATTTGAAAAAAAAAAAATATTTAATGAATAGTACCGCAGTTTTTTGACACCACTATAAAGATTTCTGTTTGATGATTGTGGCAAACGCGAGAATTGTCTATACGTACTGAAGTAATCAATATACGTAGTAATAATATAACGACCTTCTCAAGCAATAAACAATGTATTTATTTAATACAAACTATAGTACAAAATTTATACAGAACAACATACGGTTTTATCATCATTTCTCATATGACAGCAAGTTCTCGTATCGAGTGAACGCACACACTTAAGCAAGACGAGGGTTAAAAAACGAGGGGAGGGAGATACGAACCGAACTTTCGAAAGGAGTAAGGAAGATAGGGAAAATCACTAAGACTGAGCACATCGATTTGTGACAATACGAACTTACTTTGACACGAGCAAATCCATCGGTTGGCAAGCGACTCGATGTAGAAAAAGATCGCGCGCAAACACGTTGAGAGAAAGAGAGAGAGAGAGAGAGAGAGAGAGAGCGGAAAGCGCATCGGTTTAATTTGCTCGCAAATTATCGAGGAGAGACGGCATGTCCTTCTCGTTTCTCCGTATCGAGATTTTGCGCGTTTTGCGATTCTCCTCGCAAAATCTTCGCGTTGCGCAGTTCAAAACACAAAAGGACATGTCGTCGTCTTCTTCGATCGCGAGATATCCGCAGAGACAAATCTTTCTGAATCGCGCATCCAATTGGACTTAACTGCGTAAGGAGACAATAGTTTAATCTCTAAGTGCGATCCAACGAACTATTCGAGGAAAAAAACTACTGAATGTTCCAGCACATCTTTCGCTCGTATCTAAAAATCTAAACAATCAACAAGCCTAATTTGGTTTTTGCGAAACTTGGTTGTAGTAAAATATATTTATACACGATAATCGCGACGTGCGCGCGCGCTCTGCGAAGCGTCATTCTTTTTAGCGCAACGCGGTCGCATTCATCAAGAATACATCAGAGTATAAAATTGGTCGTCAATGCGCGATAAATCCCGGAATTTGTTGTTTTTTTTTTTTATTTTTTCTATTTTTTTTTATATCTTTGTCTAAACTAAATTCTGCGATGCGATAGAAACGCGATTGTGATTTACGAAAGTAAAGAATGACAGAGTCCGTGATATGTTTAAAAAAATATTCACACTCAGATGCAATGTTTCTGGACGATCAGTAGTAAAGTACAGTACCTGCATGCAACCCGTGATACCGATCCGCTGTTTTCCTCCACGTTTTTTTTTTTTTTTTGTTTTTTTTTGTTTTTTAATTATTTTATTGTACTTTTTTTCGACTCAACGGGAGTTGACAGCAAACTTCTTGATGCACTATCATTGCCGCATCGTCAGTTATTGAAAAGCGTTACGCAATCAACCGACCTTGAATTAAGATATTCGAAATAATCTATACAATAGTAGAGAGTACAAAAAAGAGCAGATTAATAATAATTGATGAACCGGAGAGAAAAAGAGAGAGGTACCCAATTCTCGAGGAAATAAATTTTGTAAATTTTAATTCGAGATTTTTATAAATCACAAATAAATTCCATGATTAAAAAAACTTAATCTACAATAAGTAGATTGCAACATTCGATGAAAAACCTGTCGAATCGGAATCGAATTCTTCCTAGTAAGAAACATTTTTTATTGCAACGCATACTTTTGAGTAAAAGATAATATGTAAGTATCTTACAACACACACACACGACCTTTCGAGCAAATTTTGTATAACTCTGTGCATTTGTAAAGATAATTGTACCCCGACGATTGTACAGCACAGACGCGTTTAGAGATATCGACTAAATATTTTCTGGATATTGCAATATCCAATAAAATGTTTATGAGACATTCGTGGAATATCTTGTATGCTGTCGGTGAGAAAAAAAAGAAAGAAAAAAAAACAAGAAAAAAAGATCGGTAAAAATGGAAACTTTTCTTAGGAAACGGATTCAGAAATTTGTGAATTTCGGTACCTTCTTTTTTTCGATCGCGCTCCTACTTTTGACGAAAAGAAAAAACAAAACAAAACAAAAAAAACTATCGCTTAACAAAAAACACTTCGCTACGTCATATTCTCGCATACATGTGCATATCACTCTAATCACATTATCACCTATAAATTACTAATAGTGTGACTTAATATTACATTTATCTCGAGGTCTCGTCGTATTAAACTTCTGTTACGTACACGCTACGACAAAATCGACAAGATCGTTCACGCAGATTGGGGAAAATTGATCATCTCGCAAGTATAACGTACAAAACGAAAAAAAAAAAAAAAAAACGAATCCGACGAAGAACGAAAAAGATTAAGAAAGCGAAGCAGAAGAAAGGTCACCGTGTGCCCGAGGCTCAGACCTTACATTCACAGCCTGACTGAGCACTCGGTTCTTGTTTCTTTTCTCTTTTGTTTTTGTCTTACGCGAGATCACAACACAAAGGCTGTGCCCCCGTCTTTCGCGTTTTAAGTCATCATAATATACAATATACCGTTCGATACCTTTTCGACATCTAACGCACGTTTGATTCCGAGCCCAACTAAGTTTACGACGAAGTGATACAGAATTAACAATATTATCCTTTAGTCTTTAATATAAATTTTACGTTGACCTCCTTCTTGACGCGCAGCCTCGTGATTTGTTGCATTTCCAGCTTAAAGTAATTGAACTAACGTCAATCCAAGATATATATACGTTGACGAGAAGGAACAAAGAGCGCCCATTAATCGTTTTATATATAGTAAAAGATATTCGAACACTTATTAAAGTTACTGTCCTATAAATAATAAGTTACATTACACTGACGTAATGACAAGATCGATTTCCTCAAACGAATATAAAACGATGTTTGTGTCTTGTACAAGCAAATGCAGCGATGATGATTAGAAAACAACGATGAAAGAAAGAAAATGTTTAACTCTCGGGAAAACAGGTGCCGCGATCATCTTAGCTCGGAAACATTCTCTCATCGCCAACACGTTAGAGATCACACGACTTCATCGTCACGATAACATACCCACGTGAAACGGGTGGGTATTTTTTTTTTTTTCTTTTTTTTTTCTTCTCGTTCGGATTTAGGTACGCCGTGTACGCGTAAATGCCTGAAAATCCGACGTGCGCACGAGTGCGAAGGAGCGTCGCTACAGCTTTTACATAGTATTGTAAACCGGACTGCTGTGCCTAGGCCTGACCTGCAGCCTGGCGAGGGGATGCGTTCTGCCGTGCTGCTGTTGCTTCTTGCTAGCTGCCTTCGCCACCACGCTGGCCATAACTACGCTGGGTGACGGTACCGCCGGCGGCCTGCCAGGAGCTTCCGGTGTCTCGTTGTAAAGAGGCGAGGAGTGATTGTTGATCATGATCGGCGCTGATCGTCTCGAGAACTCGGGAGCGATTTTTGATTTTGCCGGTGAATGCACCTCTATGGCGTCCCAATCCTTGTCCTTATTATGCGCGCGCAGCTGAATGTCCGTTGTCTTCTTGGGCTCGGGTCGTGCAACTTCGTACTTTCCCACCAACACTCTAACGGAGAGATCTTCCACGTTGTCTTGGGACAACGTTGCCGTCGTCGGCAATTCGCTTTTCCTGCCTCGCTTGTTGTTGTCTTTGGTTGTTTCACCGACGCTAGACGACGACTGGATCTTGGATTCGTTGTGTGGGATTACCGGCGATGATGGCAGACTCCTGATCTTCACGTCTCTCTTGGGTCGTGCGGGCATCGACGACGACACGTTCTCGCTATCGCACGCGTTCTCAGGACTCTTCTCAATCTTGGTCGACTTCGCCTCGAACTCCTTCTTCAGGTTCTTTACTATGCCGGACGTGCTTCGCGGACACTCAGCTTCCGGCGAATCGTCCACGGAGAGACAGCGCTTACTGAACACGGGCTTATTGCAGAGATTTTCCAAGACCATTTTATTGTGCTTCACGGATGGACATTGAGGAGTATTGACGACGCACGGACTGGACGTCTCGCTCTCCGATCTACAAGACCGCAGGGATAACGGTAGATCAGTCTCGGAGGACAATGAGGACGGTGCGGGAGCGCTCGTAGACAATCTTCCGAGCTGACGCATAGACGTAAGGGAGATATCAATGCTACCTACCGGGCTCGGCGAGTCTCTATTCGTTTCTACTTTAAGATTATGTTCTTGAGTGGGCGACGAATCCCTCCTTCGAGGTGTCGGAGATGGCATGTGTTGCAATAATACCGGATTGTACGTTTCAACCGCGGACGGCGCATCCGTTTCGCCAACCAATCCGTCGCTTTTGTCGTCCGCGACTGCCGACGTCTGCGTGCACACGCGTTTCACGCCGGCCGTCGTTGTACCTTCCTCTAGCTTTTGCTTGGTGCGCTTAACCGTGCCCGGATGCCACGGAATCTCCTCCTTGTCGTATGGGAACAATCCGCTGGAGCCGAGTAAATCGGACGGCCGCATGTCATAGGAACCCCAGGAACTGTTCCGCGACGGTAACGTCGCCCACGAGCTGTGAACCGAATTGTTGTCCAGAACCACCGCACTGTCGTAACTGCTCCAGGAACTTTGCCGACTCGGAGATTCCCTCGTTACGGGTTCACCCCGTCTTTCCTCGCGATCAAACACACGATCTAACTGCGCGCTGAACGGATCACCGTCTTTTCTCTTTTTTCCTGTTACATCGGGACATGTCGCGATCGCGGTTGTCGTTGTTGTAACCGTCGCCGCAGAGGTATCCGCACTCGTCACATATTCACTTTGCACAATCACATTCCCGTCAGTTTTATTGTCAACACACGAATCAGCACACGCAATGTCCGCAGATGCAGTCCAGACTAGACATTCACTATTATTATCGTTGATCTCGGCGAATTCTTGATCCATATCTTTTCTCCCGCCGTCTTTCTGCCGCTCCTCGCCGGGATCCCAAACCGTTTCCTCGGAAAGTTTATTCGCGACAAAATCGTCGGTCTCTCGACTCACTCGTTCGCAATGATCGGTCTCGATCGGCTTTGCGTTGTCTTCCGTAACCGAGTTCTGCGGCAGACGTTTCGCATCCGAATCGGATCCAGGTGACGACGGTTTACTGCTGGCCGCTTCAAACTGATTTGTCAGATTCAGAACTAAGCCCTTTCTCTTCTGCCCCTGAGTTTCCAATTTATTAATCCTATTTTTTACGCTAGGAGTGCCGGGACTGGGAGAAGGTAGATGCACTATTTTGTTTTGCGACACGCTGTAAGACTGTCCGTTGTCGCAGGGCATTAGAACATTGCGAGCTTCCTGTTCTATTGCCGGCTTTTGATTCGAGCCACGGAGAAGATCCTCCCGCGTAACCTCCGTACTTCCCGCTTTGTCAATGCTCTCCAGCGACTGTGACAAAGGAACTGCAACATGGCGCGAAAACGTTTTTATAAAAAAATAAAAAAAAACAGCGGCACTATTAGGTTAAAAAACATGGATGTATTTATAAATTAACAAATTTATATCTGCTTACCAGAGGGTAACATATTCTCAGCGACTTTGACATTCGGCGACCAACTCTTCGGTCTCTGGCTGCTCTTCTTCAATTCCGAACCCGAAACTTCCCGCATGTTGTTCTCCACGTTGTCCGATTTCTCCTCTTTCTTCGATTGATCCTTCGCGGACGTGGGAGATTTCAGATTCGTATCGGACTTGGACCTCTGCAGCTTTTCCTTGTTTTTCATCGCGTCCAAAATACCCTGATACGTCTCGAGTTGCAGCAGGAAACTGTTGTTCGGTTTGATGCAATTGCGCTTCTCCTTGACGTGCTTCCATGCTTGCGAAAAATCCCAGTTGTAAGCCTTCATCGCGTAAGCGATAACCACGGAGGCGGAACGAGAGACCCCCATCTTGCAGTGCACCAGGACCTTGGAGCCCTCCATCTTCGCTTTCGTGATGTATTTGAACGTGTTGTCCCAGTGCTTCAGCAGATCCGTTTTCTCGTCGTCGTACACACGCACGTTCAGATAAGTGAACATACCCGGAAAGAAGTTATCGATTTCTCGAGTAACGTTCAAGATGTGCCTCACACTGTCAAGCACACGATCAACAAAATGTTCAAACAAACATTTATATCAATCCGATAGAACTAGTGTATTGTTAATTAAACTCCGTTTGTAACCGCCAGTAAATATAGAAAGTTGTTAAAGTGTTTTTTCTTGACAGAAAATCAGAACGTTATTGAATTATCGGCGATATGTGAAAATGTGTACCCATTTTTCTGAAGTTCCTCCAAATTGCTAGCGTTCCATTCGCTACCAAGATATACGTGATCAAATATCTCGGTTGGCGCGTCCATTTGACCCAGTATCGTGAGCATCTCCTGATCGATGAACGGCTTGAATTCCCCGAGATCCATGTCCAGATCCTCCTCGAGACGTCCTCTGATGTACTTGGAGGTGACTTCGTCGAGATCCACGGACATCATGATTTCCTTCAGCGTCGATCGAATTACGCGCTCCGTCTCCTCCCTTTCCCTAGGTCTATACGTTATGAAGTGCAAAACACTCTTGTTTCTTTATTTTGCCACAAACAAAACAGAAATAAATAATAAATACTACCCCCGAGCGAACGATCATTCATCGTCAAATATATGCGACTACAGTTATCTTTCTTTTATATTCACATAAAGTAGTAGAGAAACGTATTTTGAGAAGTGAAATATATATCGCGAAATGTGATCGGTTCGACCCGAAGAGAAGGACAGACGCAGAAACTGGAAATAATTGAAGGACGGTTGTAAAGTTTTATACACGACTTTTGCGTGCGCGCACGATCCCCGGCGCAGACACCCGGAGAGTGCACACACGCATCAACAAATCAAACCGCTCCGACTCTGGCACAGCACCAAGTCAAATACACCGCCGGCTGTTTTTTCCGTGATAGATCGCCTTATACACTCTCCTCGCGAATTGATCCCGCTCGAAAAACGTCGTTATCGGGCGTTGGGGATTTTATAATCGAATGTCCGTAAAATCTGACGAAAGGAAAAAAGGGCTCTTTTTCTACAAAAAAAAAAAAAAAAAAAAAAGTGCAGCAGCGTTTCCGCGTGCAATATTCATTATCGAAGATTTATCGATGAGACATGAGTTGTTATCGGAAAAAAAAGTCAAGGGAAGTAATAATAATTGTGACATAAAAGTGACCACATCCACTTACTTAGTGCGCACGCTGTCCGGTGACGGCGGTCTTTTGGACTCCAGATTGTCCATGGCGTGCCACTCGTTGAGGCACGAACGATCGCTTTCGATTCGTTGCTCATAGTAACTGACCCAATCGTGTGACAATCCGCCGAGAAAATAGTTCTGCTCGCGTGCCTTAGCGGATACTTTGTGCAACGTCTGCAAGGCCGACCTGTGTGTGAAAAAAACAAATGCATAGAAGAGCAGAATGTTAGAAAATGCGAGAAAACTATAAAATCACGTAAAAAAAAAAAAAAAAACATATTATGTATATTAGTCTGGTGATTTATTCGCGGACGATGACGAAACACGTAAGTGATTCGCGTATCGCGTTATATCTGCTTCGCCAATCGTCGTGTCGTTAAAAGTAATTTTCGCACAAATTTCCCGTTCTCGTTCGAGTCTGATGCCTTGACGACCTTATATTTAGATAGCCGTGCGAGTAACGAGATTTGTTTCCGCCAAACAAGAAAATCGATTACTCTCGTTCAAGTGTCGGTAATAAAAATAAACGTGCAGCACGATTATCGTTTGATACGTTGTTCAAAATTTTCATTCAAACCGCTCGAAATCATTTTCGACGATTGTTTTGATTTCATCGATTTCTCGAGTCGAGTCGAAAACGCGAGAGAGACATTCCGACAACGACTGTTTTGCGCCGAAGGGCACGGGCCCCACTTTCTTGAGTACATGGTAAAATACGCGCGGGGATAATGGTTTTTTCCTTCCGCACCGACTCGGACCGCGATTAGATAGCACCCGCTTCCCGTTTTTTTTTCTTGACGGTGCAACGATTCATCGTAAAATATATTATATATCGCTAAGCGGCGGAATTAATAACGCATTTAACCTTTTCGCTCCGGGACTGGTCCATATATGGACCAGCAAGAAAAGCGAACGTAATAGATGTTTATAAGGTCAATTTAATGCACTAAATTTAGGAAAAAAATTGAAAAAAATTTTGGTTACTTCTTTGACCTTCAAAATTAACTTTGAAGGGGGGGGGTAGCAGGTTATTATTAACTTTTTCAGCTAAAATGCGAGGTCAATTTTAAAGGAAAAATCCCCGGAGCGAAAAGGTTAATAAGCGGATCTGACGAGAGAAGAACCGATAGGACTGCATTTCCGTAAAAGTGTCAGCTACTTCGACACACGCGCGAAAAATCGTATCGAAACGCAATGACGCAGAATCCGACTGTGTTGTCACATATCGTTATACCTACGTTTCCCTCGGGGAAAAGAGGGAGTGATGAACTCCCTCCTCCCACCTGGACACGCGCCAAAACAGAAGAATGTAAGAATCGAAAGAAAGAGAAAGCCGAAGATAAGGCCGCGTGTGAGCGAACAAAGAATAAATGCGTGAACAACACACGCATTTGTGTTTTAACAAGATCTAATCTAAATTTTCTCGCACAACAATGCAAACTATCAGCGATAGCGCTGTCAAGAAAATTTATTATATTACAAGCCATTTTCCTCAACGCTCATATAGTACAGACTCGTCTCTCTCTCCGCGGTTTCTCCCCAACCTGTTCCCCAAGTAGCGACGACGACGACGACGACGACGACGACGGCAACAGTGAAAGGAATGATGGCAACGATTATGCTCCGCACGACGTGCACGAGGGGACATCAACGGATATCTGCTTAAGGCGTTAACCACCGCCCGATAGCGATCTTTTGCCGAGACACCCGTACTCGTACACCGCGCGCTCTCCGGGCTGCAAACGCAGTCGGATCCTACGCAGCGAACCGTGAAAAACAATTAAATGGCGTAGCGGCCGAGTCCCGCTCGTTGCACTTTTGGTTTCCATCGCGCAACCGGGTCTCGGAGAGACTTTTTTTTTTCTGACAACGCGAAAGCGGAAACGCACGTTTGTTCGTTCGGCAAGTAACGGAAGACAAAGTTATTTTTCCAGGTTCGATTCCTGGCCGAAGTTTTTCGCAACGACGGAGGACACAAAAGCAACGGTGCTTGAGATGAGAGACGAACTCGAGAAGACCTGAAGACGCAGCAGAAATTCAAGAGTTATCGCGAGTAACGTGAGAAAGAAACGGAATTGAAGCGCGCACATAGAACGAATCAAATGTAAGGGAGGATAAATATTTTCTATCCGACTTGCGCAATTAAAATCCTGTCAACAAATATCAAGGCGTCGATATTCAACGTATTTGTCTCTCCGTGGCATTATTCTTTTATAAATATCATATTAAATACTATCTAATTACGTTTACTTTAAAATATAAATTTTGAATCAAATTACCTACGTAAACAAAATTTAAACTAAACCACACACACATACACACAATATTTAAGTATTATTTTAATAATTATAAGTAAATTTAGTCCCTTTGTTAACCATTCCATTGCTATTTTGCGCTCTACGACAAGCGGACATCGATAATAATGCAAAACGTTAATGTAAACAAAGGAACGTATGACCGATTAACAATATAAGATAATGTGGAACTCAGGTTCGCGCTTGTGTTTTATCTGAACGACGCGAGCGTCACATCAACAGACGCAAACAAGAGAGAGAGAGAGAGAATAAAGTTATCGTTGATCCGCCTCTGCGCGACGAACAAATTCCATTAAACACCATATCACGGCCTTGTAAACGTGAGCGTGAGCGTGTGTGCAAACGTGCATGATATGCGCGCTATTACGATCCGCGCTAGACTCTGACGTGCCAAAGTGAGCAACCACTGCTAGCAATGATTTTTGGATTAGAATTGTGCAATATTTTAAACAGAGCTGTGCGATGCAAAATAAATAAAATTATATTTATATTGAAATTCGCGATGACATCTACATGGATCATTCATAGATGAGTCACTAAATTTCACAGGTTTGTTCGTTACGTATAAATAATTCGATTTTTGTTATAATTTAATCGTAAAAAAAAAATATAAAGAAAATCGTTTTTTTTCAAGTTTTAATAAAATTATTTGTTAATATTTTATTTTGTATAAATACTGAAAAGTACGAAGAAGCGCGCGCGTGTGTTTTGTTTGAACAAAGTAATATCACACTTTTCGAAGATCCGCAACATTCAGAAAGCGATCAATGTCACCTGTTAATCCCGATGATAAATTGACGATCGATATCGGGACGACAACGTGAAAGCGACTTTGCGCTGAAATCGCAGAGGTTTCTCTGACAAAAAGTGAAAACGAGCTCGAGTCGACAACCTCGGCGAAAATATAAAGCAAGAGAACGCGGCGCAGCTAAGTCGAACGGCACAAGCCGCGTCTACCGGTTAATCTGGCTGAGTATAATTGACATCTCTCGCACCGGTCTCTTTAGATTGGCGGTATCAATCGCGAAGAAACGCATCCGCGAGATATATCGCGGCAGCGCGATCGCCCATGCGTGTCGACGTCTTCGCACGAACGGCAACAGCCGGAGCTTATGTGTGTTGTCGAGTTTTTGTTTCAACGAGACTTACAACTTCAAAACATCTTTCGAGCATTACAGTATTTTCAAATTGCTAAGTAAAAATCAAGATAGAGATCAGAGTTTTTCTCTGAAGTTAAATATTATTATTCTTTTCATGACTTTTTGTTCGTATCATCAGATACTTACTCTTTTTTTTTTAAGTTGACTACTAGGTCGTTTATTAGTTGTAATTTTTGCGGTTGTCATTTATGTCAACTTTTTATACAATTCAATTATGTAGATTAGGTCCTGCAGAAGTATTTTTAGAGCCTCACTTGAATCTTTTTTATGATGTAACATAGTTTTTCTCTATATTTGTTTTGTCATTTCTACGTTGTTTAACTAATGAGATTATTGTTATTATTATATATTAAATAATAATAATAA